TTTGAATTTACATATTTACCTGCCAAGGACACGCATAGTTACTTCGTGAATGGTCTTCTAATGATACCTGACCCTCAAAACATGGGTTTAGATACCTTACTTGTGTAGTTATGTGCAATATTGGCCGAGATATTGGCTAAAAATCAAATATCTGATAAACCGACACTTTATAATTTACATATTTTCATGCCAAAGACACACAAGTTACTTCGTGAATGGTCTTCTAATGATACTTGACCCTCCAAACATGGGTTTAGACACCTTACTGGTGTAGTTATGTGCTATATTGGCCGAGATATGCCAAAAACATAACTTTCCGGTATTTGCGGCACTAATTTGCATATTCCTATGCCACAGACACATGTGGTCACTTCCAAAATAGTTTTATTGTGATCTCTGACCTTGAAAACATAGGTTTAGACACCTAGTTCGTTCAGTTATCAGCAATATTGGCTGAGATATAATTAAAAATAGATTTTTCGGTAATGGCGGCACTAATTTGCATAAAAAAACAATACGTGGGACATTTTTTGAATTTTTTAACATAGCAAATCGTTTTCTACGCATTTTTTCTGACCTAGACACGTTGATTAGAAATTGATTTCCGAGGGTGCACGATACCCCCCTTTTCCGACTGAACTATTCCGTTTGATGGCAAGCAAGAAGCTGATAAAATATGGATTATCAAAGATTAAATCTAGAAATCTTTGATTGCCTGTCATCCGATACTTGATGACGTCACGATCATCGTGACGTAATTACCGAAAAACTCGAGAGCTATATTAATTGTTGTGCTATTTGATGCAAAAACCTGGATTATATCTCTTGCAGTTGATTTTTCGAAAAAAGGTGACGTCATCAATCGTTCTCCCCCAAACTTGTTGGTAGCATGAAGCTGATTATACACAACTATTATAAGGTGATTTTAGCAAACCTCTCCACGCGCATCAACTGATTATTATTTTTAAATATTTTTAAACCAGCTGCTAGAGGATGCTCTAACATGTTATGACGTCACCGGTAATATTCTTGTAAAGTACAACCTAGCCAGAGACTAGTATCGTTGAAAACAAGTTCACATCTTTTTCCACTTTCAAATTACAAGGCACTTCGGTTAGGACCGGATTGAACGGTCACGTGATTTTGCACGTAATATAAAAAAATGAAGACCCCACATTATTCTATCAATTCCCGTAAACAGCAAAATGAGATCTCTCGCAGTAGATTTTATATTGATTTTCAAAGATTATATCTAGAAATCTTGTGCTGCTTGTTGTCACCACCAAACTCAGATTTGTAATTTTCTTATTTTATTGCTTGAGATTTCTAGGTAGTGAACCCAGTTTAAATTAACTACTTCAAACACAAGCAAGAATGTCAATCGTTTCTCAAAAGTGCGGGGGGGGGACATACCTTGATCGGAACTGGGCGCGAAGCATGAAGCCCTTACAACGTTGGGTTCGGGGCCCACTTTATAAAGGGCCCCCAAAAAAAAGTGGATTCCAAATGCTCTGTGGTGTGATCTGAGGCAATTTCTTACCACTTTCCTCCATGCTTTAACTAATATTTTCTTAGCAAAGAACATTGTTTTCGAGGTTGGAGTCATTGAATCAGCTACTGGTATTCTGAGCTATAGGCGTGTGGTTCGAAGCCTGCTTAAGGGCCCCGGAAAAATGGATTCTAGATGCTCTGTGGTGCGATTTGAGGCCATTTCTGACCACTTTAACCAATATTTCCTTGTCAAAAGATAATGATTTAAACAATTTTCTCGGGTTTTCTGAGCTAAAGGCATAGGGTTTGGGGCCCGCTTAAGGGCCCCGACACATTTTGGATTCTAAATGCTTTGTGATATGATCTAGTGAGGCAATTTCTGACCACTTTAACCAATATTTCCTTAGTGAAAGATACATTGTAGTACATAATAGGGCCCTGTAAATGAGACACGAGTTCAAAAATCTGGGGGAGGGGACATTTGATATTGTGTCCCCAACCCTTCAAAAAGAGGGGGGGGGGGCAATGTCCCCCTCCCCCCCCGGATTGACGCCCATGTGTACGTGTATGCTTTGTTGGTGTGTCAAATTTAATTGCATTTGAAGAAGAATAATTCCTTTACCCATGTCACTTTCATTTTGACTCACCCTGTAAATACATATATAAAACTGGATTGAGAATAAGATGATGAAAGTTGAACACAAACATAAGACAAAGGGAAGACTGTGTTAAAACAACTGAATTAGCATACAACTTGAATTAGAACAAACATAAACTAGAGATTCGCGTTTGTTGCTACAAATGCAGAGTTGTCGGGTAGACAACTATTTTATAAAACACTGTCCAGTTAAGTTATGAATATATTTATGTAAGAACAAAGGATCGAGAAATTAAATCCTTTCCAGGACAATCAATTAAATTTCAGTTAACATTCCATCCACACATACAAGTTATTTCTGGCTTGATAACGTCATTAGTCAAAAACGGGAAGTGAGTACTGATTTAGTTCGAGTGGATGTTCATTGTGAAGTTAAATAACGTATGAAATTTTGGAAAATATCAGTGTATGTATTCATAACACCGAACTTCCGATTGGATGATGTCACCGTATTTGAAAGCAAAAGGTGAACATTGTAATGATATCGTTATTTGGGCTAAGATATACGACATGGATCAAATGATAGTATTAAATTTAAAATATGATCGTTGCCAAATTTTCATAAAAGTAAATTCCGGTCTGATAACGTCATGAATATGAATCCTTGCCAAGTTATCTGTGGTTTATCAAAGAATATCGAGGGTCGATTTGGTAAAATTTCAACCTATGGTTTTTAAAGTTAAGAAAAGAAACAATATTTTATGTGCCGCTAGGGGGCGCCCTTTCGGATGATGACGTCATCACACTGTTTTTGTGTCTGGCATTTCTCACTAAACACTTTCATAATACATGTGTTTTTAGTAAATTGCTTCCGCTTTTGAGTTATATTCAGTTTTTATTGCACTTTCGGTAACACCGGAAGTAAAGGTCAAGCGGTTTTGTGTCTGGGAACATAAAATGTTTCTCACGGCATATAGTCGGATGTCTTAGGGATTCTTGGTTCAGATTCTTCCAAAAGCACCAAAATTTGGCACAGATATTGTCCATACCATACTATTTCGATTTTTGACGGGCGCCAAGACGGGCGCCCCATGGGGCCGCCATATTGGCAAAATCCAATATGGCCGCCATCCAGGTCAGAGGTCAATCGAACTAAACGAGCTAGAATCATGAATAATACCACTTTTCAGGTATTTTGGGGGTCGAGCAATCTGAATTTGATGTTATTTTAACAATTTGAGGCAAGACAGATGCCCCAAGGGACCGCCAAATTGGCAAAATCCAAAATGGCCGCCACATATATATCACAGTTGAACAAATAACAAGCTAAACTCCTAAATAATACCATCTTTAATGGGTTTTCGGGGTCACAGAATCTAAATCTGATGTCATTTTAATGATTTGAGGCAAGACAGATGCCCTAGGAGCCGCCATATTAAGAAAAAATGACCGCCACCCAGGTTGGAGGTACTCGCAGTTAAAACAATACAACTACAGGTGTTTTTTTTGGGGGGGGGGGGGTCCAAATATCTGATTCTGATGTTATTTTAATGATTTGATGTCAAGTTTGGCCACTCGAGATCATTCCGGTAAAAGCTCTTGTTTCTGGTGCGTCATTCCATATAAAAACCTTTTCCTATTAGCTGTACATGTCGAAAAGTGTTACATCTATACACATGCCACAGAAACAATCTTAAATTGGAGCGAGAAAATTGTCCTAAGTTATTAAAAGGATGGACAGGTGCGTGTGGTGTGTGCCCGCCATGCTGAGGATGGGTGGTGCTATCACCCAACGGTCGTTTCATTTTCTCACCACCCAAGATGTTGATTACAGATAACCAAGGCTCAGGGCAACCTCTCACTTGGTGAGTTCCAGCGATATGCCCAAACCGTAAATATCCATTTCTCGCATGAGAACCCTGCAGTGAAGCGGGCTCATCAAGCTTGACTTCTCCGACACATCAACTCCAAAGCTACCTGACTCTTCTGTGGTCCAACCTCCCCCCCCCCCCCCCCCAATTGAACTCACGTCATTGTACCCAGACTTGACAAGCGAAGTTAGTCCATCCCTTGATGTGCAAGTTCACAAGGTCAAAAAAGGATGAGGCTTAGATGGCATATGTACCAGCTTGCTGAAGCAAGGCAAGTTCGCAGATGGTGACATCATCGCCTGGTTGGCATACAATGAAATCAGTGCTAGCAAACCAGTTGGCAAAGCCCCATGCCGAAATCAGGGTCTAGGCCCTATTCCTAGACACGGCCGCATCCACATCTTCAATGTTCAAGCACGCGATGGAACTGCACGATGCAGGGCACTGAATCCCCCAACCCAGGCCAGACCAACGTGTTTGGATCAGTCACGTACTGTATGATTTTATCAAACTGCCTTCAAAAGTCAATACCACCGATTTTTTTTTTAGGAGAAGACAAGTTTGTACCTATGATGGGCATACAGCGTGCTGCACATTGAAGACAAGATTCATCAATGTGATAGGGAAGCACCTACCTCACTCTGGGAGGGCCACTGTCCTTTCTCAGGCTGAGGTCCTGACATTCGCTCACAGTCTAAACACGATGAGCATTACATCATCGGCACGAGGTACGCCCATTAAGTCCCTCTCACGTCACTTTACCTGGTCAAGCAGACGCCTACTCAGAGCATTGTAAAAATGTAATGGGCACACCGGAGTAATTCGTTATGCGACCCACTGAGCCTAAAGTGAAGGATTGAGAGTTAAGTCACTGCGATCACTTTCGAGAATTTTCAAGCTGTTTTGGAGATCCTTGGCCTATTGGAGCTCTGGGTGGGCTTCGGAAGTGGTGAAAAGTACAGTAACATACTAGTCCATAGTATCTACTCCGATCTTGGTCCGACAAAGTCCTTGGCACCACCCCTCTTCCAAAGCATAACATGGTGCGACACGTCTTGCTTCGCCATGTCATGCGGAGTAAGGGGTGTGGTGCAGATGCAAGTGTCAAATGGGCCAGACATCGCTTCTTCACTACTGGAAGCAGCTTGCTGGAAGCATCCCAGCTACCTGCCATGCTGTTTGAACATGTAAAGCAACCGCTACTACAGGCCACCTCGGTCCAGCAGGAAATTCCTGACTTCATCGAGGGGGGTTGGCACAAAGATGGTACCAGTACATGGCAACCACTATGGACCACACTCTCAATGATGCTTGAGTGGCATGCGCCATTCTCGTGCACTGTGGTCCTCTACCAATTATGGAGACATCTGCATATTGGACGGTAGTGATGACCAGTAGAGTACTCATTTCTGGCCGGGCATCATAGAGGGCGAGCCAGAATGTAAAGGTGGTAATATCAATCACTGGTACCGATAGAAGTGCATATTGTAAATAAACAGCTCCGTTCAAACGCACACAGCGGCATATAGCATTTTGTCACTGCAGATATCATCTCCAAATATTTTAATAAAAATAGTTCAAACAATAGTCTTCAATGATAAGTCAAAAATGTGACATACAATACAATAGATTCAGATTCTACGACCCTGAAAAACCCCGTAAAATGGTATCATTAATGCTTCTAGCTCGTTTAGTTTTTAACTGTGACTGACCTCTAACTTGGCAGGCGGCCTGGATTGTTCCAATATGGCGGCCCCCTTGGGCATCCATCTTGCATCAAATCATTAAAATATAACCTCAGATTCAGATTCGTTGTCACCTAAAACCCCTCCAAAGTTGTATTACTTATGATTCTAGCTAGTTTAGTTTTTTAACTGCGGTATGTGGCGGCCATTTTGGATTTTGCCAATATGGTGGTCCCTTGGGGCGTCTGTCTTGCCTCAAATCTTTAAAATAACATCAGATTCAGATTGCTTGACCCCCAAAATACCTGAAAAGTGGTATTATTATGATTCTAGCTCGTTTAGTTCGATTGACCTCTGACCTGGATGGCGGCCATATTGGATTTTGCCAATATGGCGTCCCCGTGGGGCGCCCGTCTTGGCGCCCGTCAAAAATCAAAATAGTATAGTATGGACGACATCTGTGCCGAATTTGGTGCTTTTGGAAGAATCTGAACCAAACAGCCCCTATATAACGCCCTAACATCCCTGACTAAGAACAATGAGTCTCACCACTTATTTCCTTTTTTGTTTAAGATCAAAAAATTCAAGCACAAGATTCACCCATTTCTATTGGAAGAACTTCTTCATTGATGGCGTCACAAACCGCTCTAAAGGTATTTTTGTTTCTATAAGATTTCCCGATTCTGTACGATATGTCATTGTAATGCCCTAAGCCCAAAACGGGCCGGCTGGGGGGCGGAATCTGCCCCCCCCCCCATCTTTTTTTCGCGATAACCTTCATTTTTTTCGCAACTCGAGCTGTTATTATTTTTTAGCCTTGAACCTTGCGCATCTTTTGATACCCAAAACATAAAAATCGGACCGCCGCTACGCGCCGTGAAACAGAACTTTCCCATGTATGTCGTGTACACAGACAACAATTACCATTCGTACATATGAATAATTAATTAGCCATAATTCCAAAACCCTTTGACGAATTGTCATGAAATTTCTTGGGTATGTTCATAATGAGTTGCTCTATGCATGTTGCTCTATACAATTTTTCGTCACTCGATGGTCGAGATCTTAGGGGGGGGGGTTGGAATCCGCCCGGTTTTTATGTTTTTGGTATCAAAAGATGCTCAAGGCTAACATGTCCTAACAGCTCGGGTCGCGGAAAAACAAATTTCAAGACTATCGCGGAAAAAAGTTGAGGGTGGAATCCCCCCCCCCCCCCCCCCCCCCCCGCTGAGAGATGGTCAAAATAACCCGGCCATTTTAGGGTCAAATAACCCTTTTAAATAACGACTATGGCCAATCATTTCATCTTTTCTGTTGTAAAACTGAAGATTTTGTTGTTTGTTATAAACTTGTTTTAGACCAGCCAGGACACCAAGGTGCAGAGGTCACAGAAGCCGAACCATCTCCAACTGGTATTAGATGAAGTCAACAAGCTGACGGAGAAGCTGCCTGAAAGCGAGCAGTTGGATAGCAGACTCCAGTTACCCTACATCGCCGTGGGTTACTTCGACGAGAAGGGTGGAAGCTTGTCCCTGGATGAGTATGGCGTGCACCTCACCATCCCGCGTGGTGCACTAGCTCCAGGCTCTCCTCAGCAAGTCTACATCTATGTAGACCCTACTGCACCACCACCGAATGATGCGGTTGAGCTGACAGAGGTCGCACTTTCACAATGTGTCAAGTGTGGCCCTAAAGGGTTGTTGTTTGCGGAAAGCGTGGTGCTTTCCTTCCCTCACCACGCTGTTTTGATAGGTCAAAGATGTGACAAGCTAGTTGTCAGGAAGCGTGATGAGGACTCACAAGACGGTCAATGGGAGGACGGAAACCCTGCATTAGTAACTGAGAAAATGGTAACTGTCCTGATCGATCGTTTCCTGGAAAATGTTCTGGTTGGCAAACTTACCCCCGGTAGCGGTAAGCGGCTGAAGGTCGGTGCCTTTGGATGCCGCCTTGACCCAGGATGTCGTCAGTATGCATTTCGAGTACATATTTGGAACGACGACAAAGACATAGAAGAGGTACGTATATTCTACAGATAAAAACAATTTAGAAAATTTTTCACCTACGTTGTATTTGTGCTTACATGAGACTCAATGCTTCATTTGATATTTGGTCAAAATTGCAAATCATAAATTTTGTCCTTTTTTCTCCTGAAAATTCCATGACTTTAAAACCCACTCATTCGTGGACCACATGCACGAAATAACCTCAAGGGTTAAACATCGTTTCAAATATAGAACAACTTTGGATTCATGATTAAGTTCAGACATAAAAATGCGAACCATTACTTGTCCAACTATGTTTTATACACGGCTTCTGGCTCTTGCTCTAAACTACTCTACGCGGTGCGTCTATCTTATCTAGCGATGTCACCAAACTTAGCAAACTACATGAAGGAAGGCAGATCTGACTACTGTTACCAATTGGTTTTCGTCGCATTTGTAATTCACCATGTAACTGTCATTTTTGCAAAGAATGTCGTCCAACAGGAGGGCCAAGTGGGAACAAGGAAATTGGCCTACTTCGGAAACTTGCCGTTTTTCTGGGATAGTGGGAACTTGGCTGTCAGGGTGTTGGATCTTGAAGGTGATTGGGCAATTCTAGGAGCGACTGAACAGGTTGGTCTAGTGCAATAAATTCCATTCTTCTTGTATTATTGTTATGATGCTTGCAAGGTTTTGATTTTGGGTAACTCGTCGTGGTTACAGTTGCTTTCTAGAAGTCGTATTTTTAAGTATAAAAAAGTATCTGAATATTTTTTTTAAAGAAAGACATCGTATGACAGTTGAACATTAATAGTCATTTTGTGATTAGAGTTGTTCTTTTCGTATTTATCCCATGCATGCATTTTAAAGTATTGTAAAACTAATATTCTGTCCATAGTTCTCTCACAGATATGTCACTCTTTTGCGCTTAGCTAGTAATGTTTGACTTTTCTAATTCAAATAAATTTTCATTAGATAATAAGTGACGAACAAATACGACTCTATCCTGAGAACTCCGTAACGATCCACCTGAAACGGCAGGCGGGGGATTCAGAAGAGGAAGGGTTGTACTGCGTTGTTCGTACGTCCCAGTGTTCTCCAACTCAAGATTTGAGGAACCAAACTGAAGTTCTTCTGTCGATCCGTCCAATGCAAGTAAGTCAGTGGCTAAGTTTAGTTGCTTCCCAACATATTTACAAATGATAAAGGACGACGAGTCAGAAATTGTTAATGTGGACAATATATTTGCTTTCTAAATTTGGTCATTTTGCTAGCCCATCCTGATTGACGTACTGACACATATCAATTGTGACTTAGATTTGCTGTTATCTCTCGCTGACTTACTGTCACCTTTGAATTCGACTTGCTCCCAATTTCACTGACTGACTGTAATTTGTGAATTAGAGTGGTTACAATGTTATGCGAACCAGCTCTATTGGGTATAGTCTTTCCTCGACAGTCTTAAAGGACCTATGCAACTACGAATTTTGGGAAACAGCTTATTGGTTAAAAACTCTGTAGTTCCCTACACCATAAGTCCAGTAAATAGTTTTATATGAGACATATGGTGGTAACCATGCATATGAGCGCACCGAAAGGTAGTTTGTAGGTTTGGGGACTGCGTGAAATTTAACTATACATTGGAACGACACAGATTTTTGCACAACTGACACAAAAATAATTCTTTTGTCCGATATTTTCAAACGTTGTAAGCTAATTGTTTTCTAATAAGCACAAGCAGCCATGTGGTTGCGAAGGCCGATTTCTAAAGCTTACATAATACTTTATTTCGAATGAAACAACATGCACACAGACATATCAATGTTCGCAGGCGAAATCTTTCTCTCCCGTTTGGAAGACCATATCATAATGATCGAACAATGTGCCAGAAATCGGTTTTTTTTGTCGTCAGAAAATCCTAGTTCAGCGAAATTTGCCTTGGAGATATTTCAAAGTGTAACACTAGCGTTTGCAAAAACAGATTGAGCTAACAAGAGGACTTGCGAAAATAATCCTCTGTTCCCACCCTTAATCACATTTGATCACCCAACCTACCATAGTCACTCAATCTCTTATGTCCGCCCACTCTAAATTTTAATCAGACATAACCGGCAAAGACAAATTCATGCTTAAAATTCATATTAAGCCATACAAGTCACCAGAGAAGAAGTGTCACTGAATGGGATGTGCCATCCCTTTTTCAAAAATTTGCCTTGGAGAAAGCTCAAGGTGTAACATTAGCGTTTGCAAAAACAGATTGAGCTGAAATTCGGGATATACTGAGATGATATTAGTGTTCAACTGCTCGTGAAATGACAACTTGGGAGGATTCCTAGAAATTGAGATAAGTAAAAAGATTTGGGGACCTTTTCGAACGATTTTTCTACGATTTTTAGGTCAGCTTTGACGTTTCGGCAAAAATAATTGCAATTTTTTCACTGACACGAAGTTTAGAATTTCTTCTGTTATAATTTAACTTTCCAATCATACTGAGCATGTTTTCTTTAAAAAACGAGAATGTTAAAAAGCCATGTTTTTGGGTGCATTGATTTCACTGCTCTGTTTTAGCGTCACTGTACATAATTGGATTAAATTTGCCTAACAACGCCAGATGCAAATCCTTAGCAGCAGTGGCGGCGGAACCTTGGGGGGGGGGGGGGGGAGGGGACTGGGGGCACTCCCCTCCCCAAATTTACCCAAGTGCCCCTCTTGTTGACGTTAATGTGCCCCCTTGAGCATTAATGTGCCCACTCAAAATGAAAAAAAAACTGCCCTTAAAATTTCGGATAATTTTTTTTCAGTAACAATTTCCCAAAATGGTATAGAGAGTTCTTATTTGAACCAGGAATAACCAAGCCCCAAAACCCTTACAATTCGCCCTTAAAATGGCAAATGTATAGTTTGCATAATGGCTGGTTCACCACTATTTGATTTTATGGAGGCCAAATGTCCGGTGAAAAAAACATTGATTTCGTGAACACCAAAATTAGAGTGCATTTTGTTGATGCTCATATAACACACGTTTAACTTGTGCGGTGGCTGTCATACTAATCGGATGGTTTCCGTTATGGCTTAATCATCAAATGATTGTAATGTTCTGATCATTAAGAAAACATTAAGTAATATTAAGCTGGAATCATCATGTTAGGGACACAAATACCAGGCGAAACCGAAATGGAAATTACCCCAAATTTTGGAATACACCTAGGTAACCATCATGCTCGCCCCTCGTACGATCCGAAAGAAATTAGTTGAATCGTCATTCAGTTTCAAGTTTTTTTTTTTTAAATGCAAGCTATGAATATTGATTATCAACTCATTTTTAATTTGTTTGGATAAGCCTGGCTGGTAAATAAAACCTGTTTTATACACGGAAATACCCGGGCGATATACGAAAATATCTTCAGACAACTCACATAAAGCAACTTGGACATTTTTGGTTGGATTTCTAGGACAGCTTATATTTAACAACTGCGTTTATTACATGAGTTGCCAATAGAATGTTGGACCAACGACCCTACCCTAATGTACCCTGTCAAGTCGTTCTTTCTCATACACTGTGGCAACATTTCTAACACTTAGGGAAACAGTTCTTTTATCTTTGTTGGGTGTTCACTGTAATTTTCTTAATCAACCGTATGTTTTGCAACAGAACTAAACGACATTCTTATTTGTGTATAAGGTATTAATTATTACAATGAATGGTGATGTAAAACCAGGAATATGGCCAATAAAATTGGCATATTTAAGGGCGCTGCACCGTGGTGACCACCTGTGTGCCTTTCTTCTGTCTCGTCTTTTTGGTCTTTTCGTCATGTTGTTAACCTGTCTTTCGTAAGTGTTACCCTTTTTGAGATGTTATGAGGTATTATGCTAACCTTAATGACCATGCTGGTGGGTCAGTTTTTATTCTGTGCACTGATATTCGGTGTAATTTGTCATACTTCTACTCAACTAGCTGAGCTTCCTGCGAGTACACTTTATGAACGGCCATTGCCCATTGTGTATACACGGGAGATTGCCCAGGCATTACAGGGTGAGTCAAAAAGAAACGAAAGTTATCGAGTTATAAAAATATTCCATAACTAATGTGACGTGCTCCATTAAAAAAAAAATAGCATAAAGTACGTGTGTTATGGACGAGTAAGCATGAACATTTCATACAATTTTAATTTGCATGTTACATGCTTACTCTCATTACAATAAGATATCTATGTTTTCGAACAAATACCACAAAAGCCATTGTCATTTCAAGAAGACATTTTTTTCCTCCTACATGTATACACAAATCTGACCAAAAATAATGCTTCGGTCTTGACTCGAATTATTATTCTCGTTTGTATTCGAATAAGTGTACCTGTGTGTAATCTCTGCTTTTCATCACTGATAACTTCGGCATTTAACATTCCGCCTTCCGTTCCGATTTGGGTTCTTATATAAAAGTATGCGTAACTTCTGATAGTATGTATCAAATTCAGTAATGTCACATGTGGAAAATAATGCTCATTTAAAACATGATTCATTTGTGTATCAAATGTAATTCCTTTTTACTGAAAAAAAATAACCCATGTCTCTTTTGACTTTCCCTGCAGAGATGGAGGACATGCCAGCTGAGGTATGTGACACTGAATTGCAACCGCCCCCATCGCCGCCAGCATTATCACCATCCACATCAAGCCCACCATGGACAGAGACCAAGAAAAAGAAGACCAAGAAATATCAGCCAGCAGGCTCGGACAATGATCCTGATCCCCCTTATGCTTACCAACAAGACTATCGTCATGATGAGGATGGCTGGACTCGCACATTAAGCGATATCCGAGTGAGAAGTTTCAAAGGCAAGAAACCCCCTGCCCCGCATTTTGCAAGAAGGCATCTCCACTAGAGTTTTTCTACAATTTATTTCCCCTAACACTTCCCCTTTCTATCGTCAAGTGGACAAACCGTAAATTGGCTTCTCACTGTCTGAAGGTGACAACTATCCATGAAATCAAGGCCTTGTTTGGCATTCGTATATTCTGATGGGACTTGTAAAACTGTCAAGCTACAAAAAC